GTGTGCGTGCACAAAAAACCTGAAAGGGTTAATGTGACAGCAGGGCAGGGCGGTTGCTTTGGGCTATTTATTTCCTCTTAGTTTCATTGCAGTGACAGGGAACACTTGCTCCTGTGACAACAGTAGTCACACTGTATTTCACACCACACAAGGGCAACAATCTTATATGGTGAGGAAAGAGCTTGGACTAGGAGACCTAGATGTTTCCCTGTCTCTTGAATCCTGCAAACAGCTGGAAGACTGCACTTCCCACTGCCTGTCAAACCTCCATAGGGACAGAGATCCATCATTCCCAAGCTCCCGTGCAAGGTCCTGGGCTCTGCCGTACTGCTACGCTCTCCAGTCATGACACAGCAATTGCTGGTCTCCTTACGGACCGAGTGGAAAGCAGGCAATGAAAGACTAAAATCACCTTCCCTGAAAATACTACCTTGGTAGAACTACAGAATAGGATCCTTCTTTCTTTACTGCCTGATTTGCAATAAGGAAATAAGTCTTGTGATTGTCTTTCTGTAAAGCCCATACAGGAGCATTGCTGCACCTCTAAGACCGCAGCAAACTGGGAGAGCTCTGACGGTTAACCAGGAAAATAAAGAGCACGAATCCTTCCTTCATAACACCTCATGTGCCTTTGCAGCAGCAAGGCTTGTCTCAGGCACTGAAATAGCTCAAAGCGAGCTGGCAGCAGAGCAAGTAGTTGTCTCTGCCCAAGGAGAAGAGCTTAGGCTTGCAACTCTCGCTGGGGAGCTTCTAATGGAAATGATTTTTCACTCAGGTGGTTAAAGGCTTTCTTGCAGCTTCAGGCTGGCAGAGCAGGGTTGTGGCAGGGGCGTGCAGGGGGGATGCTAAAGAAAAGGACGTGATTAGTTTATTCATGAGAATTTTCTGTCATTTGCCAGTAGCCAGAGGTTGCAACACACCACAGGCCAAAAACACTTTGCAGCATGCAGAGGAGAAAATGATTAAAGTCACACGCTCGGGGGGAGCCCAGAGTCTATTTCCAGCAGCCTAAGCAGCCCACCGCGGCAGTCCTGCCTGTCCATCAGCCAAGGCGCCGCTCCATCGTAATCTCCCTGCTAGTGCTGCTTCTGCTATTCCAGCATCTATTCTGGTGTTGGCCACCTACAAGTTCTAGCAAAATCACAAACCTAGAATCCATCTGAAGGGTATCTGGGACAACACCCCACAGCAATAGAGTCAATCAGCCACTGGGATAGAACCTGGCCCTTACATAGTCTTGTTTATTACTACATTTCAGTACTGAAGAGTACAAACCCAGTTAGCAGACAGAAGGATGGCTAAAGGGCAGAATACCTCTATGAAGAGAATTTTTATTATTATTATTATTTTATTTAGACTGACACATAGAGAACAGCCACCTCCTTCCCACCCTTAAGAAAGCAACTACATTTAGTGTGGAATGAGTTCAGCTGCCCATAAAGCCTCCCCCCCCAAAGCATGTAAAATACATTTTCTTAGGCGAAAAACACAGCAGAGATTCCTCCCAAGCAGAAAATGCTCAGCTGTTCCATTGCTTTATTTCCATCCCTTCTTTCCCTGGAGGAAGGCAAGAAGCCAGCCGCATGTTAACAGCAGCACTCCAGCAACTATCATACTTCAGGAAGCTCCATTCTTATTAAAGCAAAGGTTAATTGTTCCATATTCATTTGCCAGACTTCAAGAGATGAATTCTACAATATTAGGGTGGGTTTTTCATCTCTAGTGCAATTTTTGCATCTCTGGGAAAAAGTCTGAGTTAGAAAGTGCCAAAGGCAAATATTATCTAGTTCTTCTAATGGAAAGCTTCTAAAGGAAAGCTAAAAGTCACTTTTCACAACTGCGACAGAGTCAGAAAGGGTCTCAGAACAAAGTCATTGAAAAGCAAAAATGTCTTTGAGCTATAATGGACTTTAATGAAGTTAAAGAAAACCACTAGCAGGAAATGACCAGAACGCCAAGCAGCCAGGTGTCAGCCTTACAGACCTGGAAGGGACCCCTGCAACCTTGTGCTCCATCCACTGAGCAATTATAGAAAACACATGTCCTCCCTCACTTGAAAAGCCTTTGGTGGATCCCATCTGCCTAAAAGCCATTCTCAAATAAAAAGATAATCTTTCAGAAAAGCACAGACTAAGAGTAATAAAGACAACTAAAACAGTACCAATCCATAGAAGACAAGAGCAAAGATTTACTCAGGGAATTGGAGGCAACTCGGGTTAACCCCGAATTACTGCTTGTGTATTCAAACACCAAACATGATTAGCTGACATCTCCATTACTAAAAAAAGCCATCTGCCAAACCAAGCACATGTTACTGAACCATAACAGCAAATTATTTCTTCTTGTTGTCATTATCTGTTCTTTTCCTGGACGTCTACTACTGCATGCAAACAATTCCTCATTTTTCTGTAAGCTGAGCATTGCTGCTAGAGCCAGCGAGATGCTGAGCTCATTCCAGATTTGCTCTTTTGAAGCTACTGATTACACTAACAAATCATAGCACAAATTTTATCTTATAACATCTGGGGTGGATAAATTAGCAGGCAGGGAGGGAGGGCTTTTAAGGATGCACCTTCATTAAAAACAAACAAAAAACCCCAACCAAAACCACCCCCAAACCCCCAAAAAACAACTCAACAGAAGCCAAGGGGAGAGATGCTAACAGTTTGTATTGCATGGGTATGCTGAAATCTCAATCTGTGTGGGCCACACTGAGGTAAGCAGAGTATTAAGCAGACAGACCCTGCCTCGGTGAGCTTACAGTCAGGAGAAGAGAGGGGTTAAACAATTAAGTCTGGAGAATGCTATTCCATTGCCTGGCTGGTTCAGAAAGAACAGTGCCAAGTTTACCCTAGATTTTATATTTTCCAGTTTACCTTCTACGACTGCTGCTCCTAAAATGGGAAGTTCTCACCTGAGCACTCTCCCCACTCCCTACAACAGGTAAAGGAGAAAATGGGGAGCAAACAAATAAACTGATCGAAGGAGGACAGATTCCCCGGGTTCATTTTTCCCCATGTGTGGCTGCTTTAACACACCAACATGAAGTATCAGTGCGTGTATAAACAGAGAATGTCTCTGCCACCTTTCCCTGCCCACCCCTGCCCCTGGGACCAGCAGGGACAGCAGCAGCTTTGCTGACAGTAGGGATGGGGAGGGAAGAGAGGCAGACTCTGGTGAAGTCGGGAAGAAGACAGACAAGTGACAAACCCTTGAGCAGCTGTCAGCTCCTGCTGCGATACAGAACGCAGTGCGCATTTGGGGGAAAATTTGAGAATATAAAACTTTCTCACCTCTACAGCTAGGTCTACAAGCCCACATGTTCACACTAGATTTACTAAGTGTCATATTCAGAGGGCACAAACAGAACCCATCTTCACTTTTCCTCCTCCGAAAATGAGCCAACTTTAAATTGTTTATATTTTATTTAAATAAAATGAAAACTCTTGGACAGCCCAACAGCATTTTGGTCTGCAAGCGCACTGCTAGCTTTGAAAGTGTATTTGTAATGCCAGAGATGCCTGACGTTTGGACACAACAGGATCCTGAAATCCTCAGAGCAGACTGTGCCACGTGAAGGTTTGACTCAGAAGACACGTGTGGTCTGTCACAGCTGCTCGGTGCTCCCCAGCCACGTAGGGCTGCTCTAACGTGGCCCAGCTGCCCAGGGTCCCTGTGGGGCTGCAGAGGGCAAAGGAATCAACTCCATCAGCTTGAAGCACAGCCTGCCCAGGGTTGCTGCTATCACCAGCAGAAAAACCCACTCTCTGAGACCACAAAGGACATTTGAGTGCCTCTGACACCCCCCTGCACATGCTCCTGATTCACATCAGCTGCGGAGCCAAGTTCTACCAATCCCCTGTTATTAACCAGACGGCAAGTCTGTCTACACTTCCCTGCTACCACTATTGGTATTGGAACCAGGTGCCCCAAAAAGGAAACACTACATAGCTAACTTTAAACAGGAGCCAGATTGCCCAGGATGCACAAAGACTAATCCTCTGCAACCTGTCGTCGCTGTCGGTCAGAGTCACCTTTATCTTTTAGATCCAGGGATATTACCGGGGATACAGTTGCAACAGATCTATGCTCAAATGCTTGGCTCTTCCAATATTTTATAGCACAGTATGTATCATACAAACTAAACAAAACTAAACTCTCTTTTACAGAACTGCAGAACAAAACTCAGTCTTTCCATGCTTTGATATCTTTCTTTTCCTTCTCCACCTCCACTGAAAGCACTACTCCTTTGCTAGGACACAAACGGTGACAAGCTTGATGGCAAACTTCCAGAAAGCCATTCTTAGCGCAAGTGTGGCATTTTGGCTTCAAGTCATCAGGTACTCTATTCTAGATAATGAAAACAACAACAAAAATCAGATGTGGAGAACCCATCCATCAGTACAGTGATCTCTCCTAAAGTCCTGCCCTTTTATAAAAATAATTGCAAGTTCCTTTCTGTACGGGAAAGGAGTTAGTGTCATATCCAACATATAAAAGCTGAAGCACCAGAAGGGGAGTGACCAGCTAGGAGACATTCTTGCAAATACTTGCAGAGAATGTACGACTACATGCAACAAGACACTCTGTTGCAAATTCCTTGAAAGCCCCAATACACACCATTATGGAGAGGATCACTGGATTAGAAAATAATAATCAATGATTTTTCTTCTATTTCTCTCTCATGTTTGAGTTGCTCTCTCTGACCTCATTCTGCTGCTCAGAACTTGTCCAATAAAAGAAACGCTCTGGAATATGTTGTCTTGCATCAACATGAAAGAGAGACATGTCCAGAAGAAATAGCATCCCAAATAACAGTGAGTGCAGAAGTTCGATGCCTGCTTGGTCCAGGCATCCCCCTTCCAAGACCACGCTCTGTCCCACACCTCACCACCAACTCTGTCCTCCTTTTGTCTTGTCCTGAACCTGACCAGGAACACTTAGGGAGGGGACAAATTCTTGTCCTTTGCCTTTCTAGGGGGACCCCGCAATCAACTCACCAGCACACGATCTCCAAGCCGTAAGTCCTTCTCCCCTTTTTTCACAGACCCACTGTCCGAGAGGTTAGATCCAGACTCGTTGCCCGTCTTCATGGCGCTGTTCAGGACGCTCTCCCGCAGGGGGATGACGCGAGTGGAGAGAGGTGGCGTGGCCGTCCCCGAGTGCAGTGACAAGTTCTGAGCCGTCAGGGAGTCCACGGAGGGGGCGTCGCTCCCCGAGCCCTCGGCCACCGGCTGCCGCGTCAGCTTGGACGGTCGCGTAAAAATCCCCTGCAGCGGCTGGCATTCAAAGTAACGTACTCCACCGACAGAGCCGTCATTCTTACCCACCGGGTCATCCAGAACGACCCCTGCCCACTGGCCCGGAGCAAATTGCGTCTCCCCAAGATACTGGATCACACCTGGCTTCACTCCATTTACCCAGACACGTTCGCCCACCACAAAGTCTCCCAGGAAATCATCGCCCACCTCGGCAACCTTTGAACCCGACTTCTCGGCGCTGGCGGTGGAGGCGGTACCCTGCTTGTGTAAAGGTGAGCCTGTGAATCAAGGGAAAAGAGGTTTTGGTATGAGGAGAAATCCTAAAAGGCAGCCAAAACACCAGGAAAGGGCATTTACAAAAAGGAAACATCTGGGACCACGACTTAGGTCGCAGGTTTACACTAGGTGAAGGTTAAAACCTGAGCGAGCCCGTTACTTACACATCTTCCTTGGCAGGAAAGCAATCTGCACAGAAATCCCCATACGCTGCCCAGTTTCTGCAGGTCTTGCACACAACATAAAGAACCGACCCCATGTCTTCATCCCCCTTTATAATGCCCACTTACCCCCAGTCCCGTCACAGCACCGAGGGGTAGTTTATGTGGCAGCACTAATGGGAATAAGCTCAAAGACAGGAGTGGTGGTAAATGCTTAAGGATCAAAAGGAGACCAATGAACTGCTGCGTTGAAGAAAGATGCCAAAGTCATCCTTTCATCAAAAAAAAAAGAAAAAAAAGAAAAAAAAGAAAAAAAAGAAAAAAAAGAAAAAAAAGAAAAAAAAGAAAAAAAAGAAAAAAAAGAAAAAAAAGAAAAAAAAGAAAAAAAAGAAAAAAAAGAAAAAAAAGAAAAAAAAGAAAAAAAAGAAAAAAAAGAAAAAAAAGAAAAAAAAGAAAAAAAAGAAAAAAAAAAAAAAAAAGGAGTGAGGTACTGATGTTTTAGTACCTGGCGCTATGAGAACTCCACGTGTCTGGATACAGCAAACAGTTAGTCCAAGCATTGAGAGTCCCACCAAGGGCATTAATAGCTCCTGTGGGACCACGCAGCTGCCTTTGCAAATTACTGTTTCCCCAGCTGCTGCTATGCCCTTTGCTGGAGCAGAACCCAGCAGCGAGCAGACACCTGGGGTATGTTCAATATAAACAGTGCATCTCTAAACAGGAAGCATCTACAAACCCCTGCACGCACAGCCTTCCCAGGGCTGACACGCCGTGCGCTGAACTCAATAAAACCTGCAATAAAGAATGCTCTTATTCTGGCATCAGCCCGTCAAGCCGAAGCCAGACCTCCAGCAATGCTTCGCTGCGCTGGGAGAAGGAAAACTGCAGGTGATGCTGGAAATTCACTGTCCCGCTCACTCTCTCCAGCATATCCAGGACTGGCCAAATGTGACTGGCGCCTGAAGGGCAACAAAGACAACCCAAGCAAATGAGTAAGCAGTGACCCCACTCTTGCTGACCCCAGCGTCAAACTCTCCTATCACAAACTTTGGGCTTTCAGCCTAGGCCCCAGGGGAACGAGAGAAAAGGACATATGGACTTCATTAAAACACTCTGAAGGCTAAAGGGGGAGGTTAAGTAAAGCCCTAAAAGAAACCACACAAGAGAATGAGGAAATAAGCTTGCAAAATAAGATCCAGCAAGTCATATACCATGGACCTTCAGTCATCCTCAGCTCTTGGTCCCAAGCGTGCTTCTCCCCAACAGCTGATGTAGGGGGTGTGTGCATGAGACTTGGTCCCACACATCCTGCACTCAATGGAAGCTTCCTGGACTCTTCAGCCAAACTTTAAGCTGAAATTTCTCAGTGCCACCAGCCAGAAAAGCCTAAAGCACACCCAGGAAGAAGTTTTTATTTGCTACCAGACAAGGCTGGCAGAGAAAGTCTAAGCAGCTGCAAAGACAAGTCAAACTTGAGTGCTTATCTGAAATGAACTGTGAAACTTGTTCAGCCTCAGCCATCACTACTGCTCAGCCTGCACCATTTCTACAGCTCTTTCAGAAGTAATGGGCCTGACAGATCAGGCTCAGCTCCTAGAAGGCCTGAAGAACACAAAAGCTCTCAAACCAAGATACTTCAAAGCTTTGCTAAAGGTCTAATGTCAGGGGAAAGAAAAGAGCACCAGTGCTTCAGTGCTAGTATAAAGAACCTACAGTTTCTGCTAAACCAGCTGCATTAAGAGGGATTAATATTGACACTTTGGTTCTCATTAGACTCCAGAGTCAACAGTCTTGACAAATCTCTATGGCACAATTGCACCAGTTTGTTTGTGGCTCCTGGAAGACAGCAGTACCTCTGCCTGGTCTGAACCTGATCTGAACTAGACAGAGCAGCACTTAAGGAATGATCATACAAACTCCTCTTATGAACAGAATCACCTCCAACCTGCTCACTAGGCTGGCGGGCTGGAGCTGGAACAACTCTTGAGAAAGTTAGCTAAACGGGGCATGCACAGCACAACACACGGGGCATGTTCAAGAGGCCCATCCTATGATGGGCACGGTAAGGGCAGTAACATAAATACTGTTCCCAACTGAAAAGGTTAGCAGCAACGAGGTCCGCAGTGCTCCCAGCAAAGCTCAGCCAGCTCCCCGGGAGAAAGCGATGCGCTGTAGTTCCTGAGCCGCCTTCTCTTGGCATTTGGGCCCTGCTCTGAAAGCTTCTTCAACCTCACGTGTTCTTCATTGATGAATTTTTTTTCTTTTTTTTGGCAAATGCCTGACTTTCAAGCTTCTGTTACTCTCAATCTTGTAAAAGATAGCACCTCAAAAGGAGCTCCATTAGGTGTATGGCATTACATCCATGAACCAGTTTCACCTTAAAAACTGAAAAACAAAAGACTATAAGGATGCTTAGAGCTTTTGATCTTTACAAAAGAAAGACTTCAAATAAAAAGGGGGGGGGAGGAAATGGCTCCATCCACGTGAACCATAAAGACAACCATAAGCAGAAAATAAGGCCACCATTTTCATTTCAATGCTTAATAGCACGAGACAGTACAGCAGTCAGATTAGGAACCAACAAGATACATTTTAAAAAGAGTCTTTCAGTTTGATAACCAGAGATGGCTACAGGGGTTTATCACCAACAACGTCTGTGATATGTATCTCTCCCCTTTCATGGGTATAAGAAAAAAATTAAATTAGAAACACAACTTACATCCTGGTTTCATGCTCGGCAGAGTGCCATAACACACAGATCTCGTGCTGCTGACATGTTTGCGACAGACATATGCAATGTGCCAAGCAGAATAGCCGAATTCAACTCTACTGTACAGGGAACTATAAGCACAGAAATTTGGGGGGGGGCTCTGCATCTGTATTCACAAAAGATCAAAGATGTTTTTCTAGTCCTACTGGAGCCTGAGTTTCAGCACACTAGCAGTCTTTATTAGGGCTGTTAGTTAACAATCAAGATATAGGTTACATTAGCACCCTCAAACACCTTTGCAACGTGGCTGGGATCAGCAAACCCTTCAGCAGTGAAGCTCAAGCAAAGACAGGCAGGAAGGCTGCCCAAGGCTGAACGAACAATGCAGCAGGATTTAAAACCACGTCTAGACTCACCATATTTCACTGCAAGAGCAAACACCTTCAAAAACTGACTTGGACTGGAAAAAAAAAAGAACAGTTCATTGGACTCTTGGTGTAATATTGTGTTCCCCATAAAGCCGAAATTTTAGTGGGACTTTATACGCTCCGTTCATTTTAGGTGCCTGTCTGACAGACAGGGCTGCCAAACGACAGTAGTTATACCATCTCGGGAAACAGTCTAATTACAGGCTCCCAAGCAGAGCAGTGCATCAGAAGCATTATTATTCTTTAACATGAGGGGAATGATTCAAAAAGATAGGATTTAAGCGAGGAAGAAGGTTCAACTTCATTATGGCCATGCTGTAGAATCTTAGTATTTTACATGACCTTCATTACCCACATATAAAATAATAACTAAGGCACCAATTTTCCTACTGTGCAGCTAACAGGCTTTTGTGCACTAGGTTTTCAGAGAAGCCAAGAGTCACTATGATCAAGCTAAACCCATTCTTCTTGGCTTCAGGTCTGATGGACCCATTAACTAGATGGCCAGACAACATCCAGAGTAGTCTGAGTAGACTAAGCTCTGATCCTCCCAGGTAGGCATCTAGTCACCAGCCCTTCAGAAGGCAAAAGGTAGCAACGAGCAACTTGTCTTCAATCCCATGAGTATCTTAGAATGCCCAAAACAGACATCAGCTGACAGCACTGTTCTCCAAGACCAGACATCTGGAGTTACCCGCTCTCCAAGCAGCTCTTACAGCTTAGGGGAAAGCCACCCAAGTGCCCAGAATTCCTGAGCTTTCTCCAGCCTACAGGCACCTAAAGAGCTGGTCTATGCCTGTGTCGTTTGGATTTGCAGTTTATGGAGAAGAAAAATCTTCTTCTAGTCAGACTCCCCAGTTAAACACCAACAAGTTCCAAGAAACTTGCTAACAGCAAAGCGAGGGTACGGATTTCAGGTACAAAGTTGAGAACACAAGAGAAACAAACCCAACAAAATGCAGACTGATTATTTCCTACTCCAACCCTGCCGTTATCTGGTGATGCCAATCAAGAAGCCACAGGAACTCTTTGAATGTCACTATTAGGAATCTAACTCAGCAGCTCACCTGGAAGCCAGCGATGGGGAAAGCTATTCCCTTCTTGGTCCAGGAGGATTTCCCTCTGCTGCTCTGTCCAATACAAACCTTGCTTGCTAGACAGGACTGCAACAGCAGCTCCTCCCTCCCTCCCTCTCCCCGGGACTAGGCTCCAAGACACAACAAGCAGTAAGCAGGATCTCTTCCACTTGGGCTTTCCAACTTTACAACCCTATTGTGTTCATTAGCCAGCTCATTCTTTTCAGTTTAAATGGTCTTCCTGTAGGTCACAGCTTTCAGAGCTGAACAACAACTTTGATTTATAAGTCATGCACAGCATCCGCTAAATGCACATCTTATCCAGCTTTAAATCTCTATTTTCCCTTTAGCTTTTGTAAAGCCCACGTGTGACGCATTAATAATAACCACAGCAGACCTGGTGCTTAGGGCCCTTTTTGCAAACTCATCCCACCAGTCTTAGGGGCCCACAGTGACAGGGTACCCCACATTGACTTCAATACTTAGGAGCCAAACAAACTCCTACCAGCCAAGAGCTGGAGAGGTTAAAGGTTTTAACTGAAGCTTCAGCCTGTTCACATGGCTCTCGTTACCGTGTCAATGAAAGCCACGTGTCTGAAATCCCTGGAAGTGCAAGGACTTCTGCAA